TGTCGATCTGTGTCGCCAAGTGATTTTATTACATTTCGGATCCTCCTACCTAGTGGGTGAAGCGACCGTGAGTACGTCAACCCACAGAACACCACGATTATTAATACCCTCGCCTCGTTTCTTTCCATAATTTTCATCTTTATCTCCCACCCTTTCTCTTCTCCACTTTTGGAGTCATAAATATTCGTCAGCGGTGCGACGCGACGTATACATCACAGAATAAGTAAAAATTGAATTAAAAAGAACTCATACACTCCTTTTATAAACTCGATCTACTTAGACTTATCCTTCAGTTTACTAACCACCATAACCGTTACAACGTATTATAATATTATACAACTCAGTTGATAAAGAACGTATCATCAGAATATGTAATTGATTGGGTTGACACACCCATGCTGTTTTAAAGGGATAGGTCTTTGTCATTAAAAATACTATGGTTTATGATTCAAGTCTTTTTTTTTTTTTATTATTATTATAAATATATTAATTTGATGTAAAACTATAAATATTCATTTTCTTTTTGTCTTTATATTAACATTTATTTTACTTTGCTCGAATAAACTTAAAATGTAATATCGTTAATGGTAATCTGTAAAGAATAATAATAATTTTCTAGTTCTGTACGTCAGATACTCGCTATTGTTGTGAAATTTTAGTTTCTCAATATACGTAATAGTTATATAAATTAAATAATAACAATAATAATGATAATTTAATTTATGTTGAATTTAAATCGTAACTAGTTGTAACACTAAATTGCACACTCAACATTGGATAATATACCTAGTTCCTGTTGATTGATAGACTGTCCTGTTTTCAAATATTGACGTCTGATAGCAACAGAGTAATGCTAAATAAAGACCCTGTAGGAGAAAGCTAAAAATGCGATAAATCTACACGATATGAGTATGAGGTGAGTTTATTTTAATGCACTAGTGTTATAATAAAATGTATGTAAAAATAATAATAAGCATATGTGTGTACTTATATCTCGCACAACGATAGACCATTAAAAAATGTAATCGCTGTGTAACAGACGTGAGTCGCAATCACCGGGAAGGTCCATAAACTTACACGAATTTGCTTTTTAAACGTGACGTTTTTTAATACAGTTCAGCGCACTTTTATCATACCACTGAGTATTAATTAAAAATAAAGTAAGAATGTGGAAAATAATTACTAAAATGTGTGTGTGACTTACGCGACCGATTATCGCTGCGACCAGGTTAATCAATTTAAGTTACGCTCGTGCGGTGGTTTTCGAAGGAAGGTTGTTACAACGTTTACGGCTATTGCTATTACCGCTACTCTCTAATAGAAATTAATTAATCTAAAACCTTATAAGGGTACTACTTTCTTAAGTCGAGAGTCACCCAGATAACAAAGACAAATCGAACGAGTGTATTTGCATAAAACAAATTTCAGATCGAGCAAACACGTCTCTTACTGGTATGATCAACACTTGGGATATTTATACAACGTTCATATTATAGAGCATGAGAAAATACTTCAATAGACTATTTCAACTTGAATATAAAAATATTAATATTTATTTGATAAATAAATATATAGTCTAACTTTCTCTGAAAAAATGTTTTTATAAATAACAGTAGTTATAAATTTATAATTTAAATATGTAATGTGTTTTTTATAAAAAAAAAACTATTTGAATATTTTTTACTTTCTCGGAAAATTTTAAACTATAAAGCATCTTTTCTTGAAAATTTTGTAAAGACTTCTATTAGCGAGAGTTCTTATTTAGACAACACCTTAAATGTCGCTTTCGAGACAAAATCAAAATACAAAAGAAAATTTTTTACCAATAAATGTTTTACACGATACAGTTAAGGTTACAATATTAATTCACAGACGTAGAGAATATAATAGCTACCTGACCCATGTGATTTGTATAATTGATTTGGCAAACATTCAACGAGCGCACTGAAATTGTTTGCCACGTAGTAATAACTCGCTGAACGATCTGAATTGGATAGACACTTAGAGGTAGGTTCATGTAGACATATATACTAACCAAGTAAAATAAATAACTATTCGGTTTTTTATAATCTTGAGAAAATAAACCTCTATGGATTTTTAGTGAATTATACAATGTCTATAACATCAAAACAATAGATTATGTAATTTAACAATTTTTAAATAATATGCATCAGTAATAATAACTTAATGCATAACTCTCTAGATGATGTTTCAGAAAATTGTCGAATGAACTTGAATAATTACACATAAATTAAGAAATGTTTAAATAAAAAATTCAATATTGTCCGAATCAGAAAATTTAATAATATTTAAAAATATAGTTCCAATAACAAAGCTCCTTACGAAATAAACTTTTCTTTTCTATGTTATAGACTAAATTTAGATATTCATAAATCATCTAATTTTCAAAAGGTTTTTGTGATATTTAAAAATAAATTATAGATTAATAATGTAATACTTAATGAAATTAATATTTTTACGGAAATAACTTTTATTACTTTTCTCATAATTCGCATAAAATGTACAGCGGATATATTGACCTCGAAATGAGTAAACCTGAAAAACACATAACAAATAATGAAAAGAAAACTCGGAAAAACTAGAAAACAAATATATTTCAACACAATGAGGAACTAATTTGTGAGTCAAATTTCATCAACACAATAATAGTAATAAAAGATTTGTGCAACTAACAGTGCTCAAGATGTACTCAATTATATTACACTTATTTTTTATTTTAAAATAATTGTAAAAATTATTTTTTATTGAATTATTATCATCTAAAGCTATTTAATCACTTATACTCACTAAAATTAAATATACATACATAATTAAAAGCGTAAATTATTACTTTACAACTTCCATTAAATGAGCATTTCAAAAGCTTAATATTTTTGTGTTTGAATTTGAATTTACCCATTGAAAAAATGATTATTTTTTAATATTTTGATTATGAACAATATCGATAAAACATATCATTACCCCGAAAAAATGTATTCTATACATGAGACTTGATATTTGTCTTGTATTTCCAAGACAGTCTACAGTTAGAGTATTTCAAATAAAAATATATGTTTACGTTTGTGCGCAGTGAGACTTTAACGGTCGTATACACGGGGACGGTTTTTCTTTTTTTTCCTTCTACTGTATAGATCTGATTACAATCCCACAGCGACAACGGCAATTTCAAACTTTTATCAGATATTAAGTGGGCGATCCCCGAGGGGGTTTACACTGCACAGTCGACTAAATGGTACGTCATTAGTCACCTAGGACTGCGCCCTATTGATGGAAATTGACAGTTTCGTATTATACAAACGTCATTAATTTTCCACCACACGTTCACCTCTGTGCCTCATAGGTAAGTAAGTATAGTGCGGTACATGTACAACAATAATAATACCAATATTAACGTAATACTTCAAGTGTATATGATTACTGTTAATTTAGAGCTCTTCTGTCCCATTTTTACTCGCAAGTTAACTAATATTTCGAAAAATATTTAAATCTATTCTTGGAAAAATGAAAAAAAAAAACGATTTTGAGTGATAAATTCATGGAATAAACCAACTCTAGTTACGGTTAACTTCTCTAAAATAGTAAATGTGAAATATTCTTACTGACTATATCTTAATATGCGGTTGGTATACACGATATTTAAATCCTGGAATAAGCAAACTCTATTACTACAAGTGAAATTAAACCGTGACTGGGACTGTGCGAGGTGGTGGGAACAAAACCATTAAAACGGTTGCAGATTAACAATTAAGGTTCAACGTCACGTAGCGTAAAATCATAAAAAAAATATATTTAAATTAAAACAAAATACTCGCGATGAATAAAATCGATGCTTCTCAGTTCTTATCACTGTACTTAACGTGTAATTACACGTGGATGTCGTAATAAATCTACGGTTAGTACAAATGTATCGTAATAATACATACAGGATGGACTGACACGGATGTCCGTCGAGGATGACCGAAAATCAACTACCGAAATACTAAAAGCAAACTTATTTTTCTGTAATGTACTCGGTATGAGTGCAGTAAACGTATTTTGAACGCCGTAACTCTGTCGAATTACCTCATTTGTTTGTTTTTCGTATTAGAATATGTCAATTTACGTTTATTAATCAAAATACAGCCGTAAGGCTCATAATCATGTATACATAATTAACGTCTATTGTTGTGATATTGTTAAAAATAAGTTATACCCAGTGGGGATGGCAGCTCCACAATTTAACACTGTGCGTTCTGTTTGCCATAAAATATTTCTCGACCACAATTCATCTAGAATGCGTTCAGTTATAATTATCTAAGCGAATTCTATTTTTATATAATATTTCAACGTTTTAGTGACGCTGTATCACACATCGTAGACCTTTCTTTTATTTTCAACGGGTCATGTTGATTCCATCACAGTATACAATCTGTCGTACACTTTCCTTATTCGCGAGCCTGTAAAAAAATTCTTCATTGTAATACTTTTGGATCGTCATCTCGCACTTGTCACATCCAAAACGGTTTTATACGAGAAACACTCTTGAAAACAGATGTAGGTCGCCGAGTAGGCGACGGAGTCCCACGTACGCCAAAAATATAGTTTTCGAACAAAATTAAAAAAATATTATTTTTCGTTCGTACCCGCCGTTGTTTGCCAGAAAATTAAAGCATAATTATTACTTAGTACCTTTTTATCAAAGCAATGAATCTCTCATCGTCATTATCTTCATCTAAATGATGTTTTCATTTATTATGTAGCTTCTTTATCCTTATAGAGTTTAAAATACAACAAATTCAAACAGCCAATGTAAATATAGTAAACAAGTTATTTTAATATCAGCTCCGTAGTAATTGTCTTATAAGCGTCAGGGTTTTAAAAATCAGATAGCGCGTTTGGCTAATGATTTTGACCTAGACGAAATGCACGTAAATAGTTATTGTACGCATATACAGTAAATTTTTGTTTATTCTTAACACTAGTGTTACATAAACCTCAAACACATCACGAAGGGTGTAAAGCAAACCATTATGGAATCATAAAAAGCACCGACGACGTCAATAGGTTTAATAAATTGAACTCGGACGATTTTTTCATGCTTCAGACGACCATCGTTATTAAATATTAGCTTAGCAATAAATTAACACTACAATTAACTTTAACTTTAATAGTATTACTTAAGTAAAACGCAACATTATAGCAATTATAAATTAACAGATATTGTATACAAGGACCCGGTCGAAAAAAAGATAGCTGTGGTGTTTTAACCGACTGTAAGTACTAATAACATTTTAGCTCGAAATTAGCAAGCAATTTTCATAAATTGCATAAATTACTCATTAATCAGTTGCAGTTTTCAAAGTTCAAATAAAAACTAAAAACAAACACAATTTGAAAATGTATTTATGAAAGTAAAAAAAAGTAGACTCTGCAGTAAATAAACACAATCAACACAATTTGTAGTAAAAAGTTGACATTTTACAAGTCAGATTATATTTTTCATCAACATACTGTTATATTTTCATTTTCGAAAAGTATACGCGCATTTGGATAAGTTTGTATTCGTGTAACTATTCCAGAAAATTATTTGTTTAATTATTCCTGTAGTATAAACGCAATGTCTGTTTTAGTGATAACCTGACTAACAGTTATTTGATTACAATATTGCGGTATGTCATGTACATGTGTGGCCCTTTTGCAAACTACTCACTGAGCATTCACTAAGTGTGTTTATATGCACATAAATCTCTCACGTGTATCTGATTGAAGGACTAGTTGTCCACACAAGTCAGTTTAGTCAGTCTAGTCAGTAGAATTTTATTATTCACTTATTTTATATGGCAAAATAAACAATAAACGGGCTCGCGCGAAAACGCACAAGAAATATGAAATATTTGATCACACAAAGTCATGATTTATTGAGTTTCAAATTTAGGAAATATTGATTATAGTTTTGTGACTAGCACTCTCGAATTACTCGGCATCAAATTAAAGTGACGACTATTGCAAAGACGATAGTGAGTACAGCACTGGATTTGTTTCGGCTTAAAAATATCCATAAAATAACATAAGGGCCCGAATACGTTAAATTGTTACTATAAGTGGATGTGATTACAATCTGACCGGTCAGACTAGATACTCGTGAACACAAGAGGTTCTGTACCGGTTCTCTCTGTCCGCTAATTGTTGTGGTCACCGATCGAAAAGGTACACAATACACGTTATTATTATGGTTAATTTTCTTCATTATTAAACATACTGTAATGGATAGTAACATCACACTAAATATGATCATAATGAATTAAAAGTTCGGAGGAATATTTCAGGTAATTTTAACAGACGCCCTCGCACAAATATTGGAATATTTTATTAGACTATAAAACAAAATATTCATCGATTGGTTATGTTCAAGAGGCGTAGGTGTTTATATATTTGTTTCGATAAATCCGATCAGTACCCGCGTATTTTGTGAGTGGATCAATACTTTGAAAAATAATCCTAAGATTATTTATCGGGATGTCTTGAAGTTTAAATTTAGTGACTTTTTTTATCATTTTTGAGATAAAAGATAAAATTAAATAAATTACTCATAAAAGTTCATTCAAACATTAGATATTAAAGAAAAGTCATTATGAAAACACTACTCAATGGAAAAACTATTGATATAAGTGTCTTATAAAAATGAATAAATGTAATTTATTCTATAAGGCTGCGTAAACCATAAATCAAATCGAATAAAATTATACTAATTACATGATAAAACTAAAACCCTCTATTAAAAATATTAAAGAAAACATTTTTGTTATTATGATATTATAAATAATTGTATAAAAATGTTTACATTTTGTTTAATGCCAAACTAATATTTAGATAAAAATCAACTTTAAAATAAAATCTAATTAATTATTTAACTGCCAACAAGACAACTGCCCTGTATAACACTGAAAAACCTGTAGGGTGTAAGCTACCACTTAATACAACGAAGCAACGTGTTTGTTGAACCTGAAATTCATAATAATATAATAATACAGTAATAATAAATAGGTTACAAGTGTTTTCTGACTAGTGTTTAGTGAAAAGGAACGACGACTACGTATAGCTCCAGGTTAAGATACTCGAGACGGAGAGGTGCTACGTTTTATCGAAGGATCTCTTCTTTAGCCATGTGAACCGGAAGTACCTGTCGGAAAGTCTACAATATTAGAAATGAAATTATATCGTGCAACTAATAACGGATCTACTTCGTCATCCTTCGTTATACTTGTTCGAGTTATATTTATTTAATTATTCACAGAAATATCTCAATATATCTCAATGAAGACAGGATTGATACAAATTGAAAACACCCATTAAGTTTGTATGAATAATTTTTTTTTTTTTTTAATTACCGGTAAATTGTTATTTTTTGATTCTTAAACGTAAATAGAAAGTAGAGGGACGGCGTGGCTATGTCGGTAACGCAGCAGTAAATAAATACTGTAGGATTCTGTGGTATTATCCTTTAGTATTGTACAGGATAATATCGTGGCTGATACGAACAATCTTAGGGGTTCGAGACTCAGAAACGGACGACTCCATTTACAAAACGAGAGATTAGTTCAGTAATTGGAGTTGCCGTCCCTCTCTCTGGCAATGGACTTATCACCCATCTAAGAGTATACTTGGTTAAGAAACTTCTTCTTGGAGAAGGCCGCAATAGCCCACGTGGGCTGTAAAAGCGAAAAAAATATGGTAATGTAATTTAACAAACACATAAGGCTAAATTATGATATATTATAAATTGATTAATTAGTTGCAGTGTGAAATTAAGGAAAGCAACAGTCAATAATTAAATATTCATATAAGTATGGCAATTAAATCGAATTAACTTATTATACATTAAGTTTTACATATTTAATAAATTTATTTTAATAATTATGGCCTTCAATAAATACAACAGTTTTTTATTCTATTTACGTCATAGCTACACAACAATGATTCATCGGTAAAAATGACAAGAAGTTTTGAAAAAAAATAATTTGTGAATATTCAAAATTTTAAATGTAAAACACTTTCACAATAGTTTATAACAAAAAATAAATTTAAGGATATAAATACAAATAAAGTAAAAATACTTAAGGAAACAAGTACAAAATATAAACATAACATGTATGATAATAGCTGTAAATATTTTAAGATCTGTATTAATAATTCCGATAAACTAAAATTGAAAATCAATTCTTAGTTAACCAATCAAGAAAAAAGAAAAATTTTAAATTTGGTAATTTTTTTCATTAATTAAATGGTACTGACATATAATTATTTTCAATGTTATGCCACTCTGAAACTGAAGATATAATGAACAGTTTTACATAAGAAGAAGAGTTTGGAACTTGATTGATGATTATTATTTTTATAACGTTCAGAATTTAATTGTGTATGATACTAAATTTTCAAGGAATAAATAATTTTTTTATTTAAGATTATAGAAATTTTAAATATACAGTTGATGAAATCATTTTTCATTGACTAAAACTAGCGAATTGTCTTAGGGTTGCTCTAATACGAAACAAGAAATTTAGCGCTTGACTCTTTTAACCACACTAATTCAACAAAATAATACTTTTTTAAGTGCTAAAATAAGCATTTTTGTTTTTTAGTAATATGCATTTAAAAATGTTTATTACTAAGTTAAGAGTGTATATATAAACAGTTTTGAATCCAGGTTATACATCAGGGACTAGCCAATAATTCAGATACTTTTGAAATATTAGCGCTATTTATTTAATTATTGAGTTCAAAACTATGTTTTTTTCTTATCAACTTTTATTTTAATAAATTTATGCAATTTTTTTATTTATTTTTTTCAATGCTCATAGAACCTGGAAGAAACACTGAATTAACACTGTATATAAGCTATTCTTAAACATATTAAAACGACAAAAGTTTTTTGAATTGTTGAAAATGTCTTAAGTTAACAGTTAACACATACATTTTTAATTTTTGATTGTGAACTAAATTATCAAATGAATATTTGAGTAATGATAACCCTGAATTACTTTGACATAGGAATTCGTTGAGAAAATCCGACAACAAGGCAGTACGTGCGTTTTTGACTTAAAACAAAAATATATGTAAAAGCAATGGAAAAGGGTTGTTAGTTGGGACGATGTTCAGAATTATTTAGGCTGTTTGTTTTCTTTATGCAGCATTTCCTGTTTCCTGTCACGTTGCGCCCGCACGCCCAACAAAAAAAGCTATCAACCATGCGATTCCGCTACTGACAGACCGTGACGTTCTCAATTTGTTAATTTAAGAAGGAAGAAAATGCAAAGAAGTTAAAGACGCAAAAAATATTTGATTCATATTGAATTTAAAATAGTATTATTGTCAGAGTATTCGAAATCTAAGCCGCATTGTTACTATATCAATGTATTAATTTATAAGATTTTATGTAAAAAATAAAATAAAATCTTCAATAGTAAAGTTCCTATAAGAACCAAGTACAAAATATGTTTTATATATCTATAGTTAGGCATAATTTGCTATACCTATACACTTAATCGCCTGATTATTTCTCGCAATACATTTAGTTAACTAATGTACACGTGGTTTTATCGCATTTAGGAATTTTATAGCAGAGGTACTTTTCCGCTCCATAAGAACCCATATATTTTTGTGCTCAGTTTTTTTTTTTAGTAATAATCAAAAAAAGTTGTTCAATTCACAAAATTCTCATGTTTTAATGCTAATATTTAAGTTTGTTTTTCCTTTACTGCTACTCCAAACATGCGCTAGTACTTGATCAACTATAAAAGTTCACTATTTGTTATGTTCATTTAAATTAACTCTCTACAACTTCAAAAAATTAACAAAACAAACCTACAGTCGTTTTAACTAAAGCTTGTTTGGTTACAACTATAATAAAACCAAGTATTCTGTTGATACAATAAGTTTAAGGGAAAGAATTTAATCGAATAGTAATTATCTCCAATTTAAAATATACCATTTAAATACTATACATGTTCATTCATTTTTCTTCCCATCAAGTTGTATTTAAGAAAGTTTTGAACAAAAAAATAATCTTAGAATATCTACCGTAATAACAAATATTGAGATTTCCTACCCCAAAAATGAAGTTTTACATAGACCCCTAATTATTACAAGTGTATAGGAAATTGTTATCATTTGATACTAATCCTAGTACAAGTGTTATACAGAATACGAGTAGAACTAACGAATTTGAGTTTAATTAATTCTGATCGATTTACTTATTATCTATCATAGAAACATTATCATTCGTAGAATATAAAATTATAATCAAACGATTTAGTAAATTTTATTTTTAAATATTCATTTTGAACATTATACCCAGAAGGATTTTTTAATTTAATATTGTGTGTTTGTCTTTAGTTTTTGACAATATATGCATTAAAAATACATAATTTTTAATTTGTTTTTTAAGTCTAGTTATGAAAATCTAAAATCTATTTCACAACTTTACTCTTATAACTTATAATTAAATTATTGAAAATAATAATTTTCTATTAGCTATCTGAAATATTTTAGAATAGTTATTTCATAAAAGGGGCAGATTCCCAACTCTCCTCTTCGTTACGCATACCATTAATGAATGAATATCACATACTTGGGAGGTTCTCAAGTTAACCTTCCTTCCAAAACAATAGATAAATTAAAAAAATCATAGGTTAAAAATTGTCTGAACATCTGGAACATTTTCAAAAATCGAAAAAAAATATTGACATGCATAGTATTAAGCCCTTTAAAACACTTCCTGGTACACTTAGGTTATTCATCAGTAATTTTGAAATAACATCCTAAAAAAAATCTTATTTTCTCTTGTATAATATATTAAAATTATATTTGGATCAATGTTTTAAAAAAAATTACATCAATTTTAAAATGCAAAAAAAATTGTTAAAATAGCTATTTTTACGATAGCATAATTTTGAGATATATTTTTTAATTCTATAAATCAGGAAGGTTTTCAAATTTTAAGTGATAATTGGTTCATCTGTATTAAAATCAAGTTCTTTTGACATATTGATCATTAAAATCGGTCCAGTGAGAGCTATGACTTTTCATATACACACATAAAAAAAACAAATACCATCACTAATCCAATACCTTTTCACTCAGCTTTGCATCGAAGCTAAAATATAGGAAGTATTATACTAGTAACGATATTCTAATTATTTTAGAGGGATTAAAATATAAAGTGATTTTTTCTCGTCTAAAAACTACAAAACACTATTAATTTTAAGGGAAAGGATACAATAAGAACAATATTTGTTACCCTCTCAAGTCTAAATTATTAACTTTCCTGGACATTTTTTTTTATTAAGCCAATGATATACAATAATTATACTCATTCTTTCTATTTTCATAAAATACCAGTCAATTTAGGGAAAAAAATATCATCTTTTTGTTAGATTAATATTTTGAGTTCAAAATTAACGTTAATAACAATACTGTATATAACTAAAACTCAGATAGATTTATTGTTTTATTTTTCTAGAACATATTTTTGCAAAATTTATGTCTCATTATTTATGCGAACTTATTTTTTATTTTTTAGTATATGACATCATATTTTTTGGTAATTTTTCGTTATATTTTTATCTTTTGTACTGATTATCCTTGTTTAAATAAATTCATGTTTATCCTTAACACCGACCCTTTTAAAATAAACCTATGTAATTAG